AACCATCCATTTTATATTTAAACCATGCGGTTTTTGTAAATTCCTGGACGCTTTTACATATCTATGCATACTTAGATATATATACATTTGTACACTCCCTCCTACACACTTACATACTACATATTTAATGGCTTCAACTTCCATCTCGTCTACCGCAGTTCCCGTACCCATTCATCTTTGCCTGCAATCACACCTTGACAACAAAACAACAACAATGTAACCGAAACACACCTGCCACTCTCTAAGGTCACATGTTGACTGGTGTCGTGGACTGAAAATGGTTTTGCATAGTCCGTTGCCTCGTAAATCGAAAATCTCTCCGTAATCTATTGGCGTGGTTTTGCCAGCTTCCCTATGTTATGTCTATGTAATTCCATTGAGGACTTGTATTTTGTATTGCTGTAACATATGTATGTACGTTTGTTTGCTTTAGTGAATTGTGAGTACTTTTCCTCGGCTTTGCCACATACCGCTAAATTCAATTTTTCTTTCGCGCATTCTTGGCGATTGCTACATACATGTATATGCATATAAACACAGACTACGTAACTACTGACGTATTTGCTCTACTGCAAATGCATCTTTTTGGGGAAGGAGGGACGGGGGTATACTTTAGAATGCTGTACGATTCATCTTAGCTTATAGAACAGTGTCTAAATATAAAAATGAATATTGTAAAAGTTCTAACTAAGTATAGTTGCGGAAGGACTACCTAAATACCAACAGAAATAACAATTATAAATAACGTACCAATACCAATACTGATACCAATACGAACACTGATACCGAAACCAATACCATATTAAATACCGAAAGCATTACCAATACCAGTTTTAATATCGAAAGCAATACAAATACCACCGCAAGAAAGGACTGGTGTAATCCTTCTTACCAAAGTAGATACCAATACCAACCCCACTTCCAATACTAATACTAATACCAACGCCAATACAATTACCAATACCAATTTCTATACCATTTTCAATACCGAAAGTAATGCAAATACCAACACCAACACCAATACTCCTTACAAAAGCCGATACAAATACCAATGCCAATACTAATACTAAAGTCCGAACCCAATTCTAATTGCAATACCAAATCCAATACCAATACCAATAGCAATACCAATGCCAATACCAATACAAATACCAATACCCATGCAAATAATACCAATCCCAATTCTAATTCTAATACCAAAACTAACACCAATACCGATATCAATACCAATACCAGTACCAATACCGACACCAATACCAGTACCAATACCCACACCAATACCTATATTCACAAACCCAATTTCCATCAATTTCTTCCAATAGTCCTTTACACTTTGCTCCACTACCTACGCGCCGACTTTTTCAACAACAATAAGTCTCATCTAACACTACAGCGGAGTTGTGCCAGTCCAAAAGTTTTGACTCAATGATTTTTAGAAGTTGTTGTTGTTGTTGTTGTACCCGTATTTTAAACAGTAAGTGGTTGAGTGCCAACGTGGGCCAAGTTGAAAACAAACAGATAGACAGACGCGCCAGCAATAAAAAACATTGAATACACGCATTTGCCTATAAACTATGAAGTACTCGCAGATAGTGGAATAAATAAATAAAGTTGGTAAACAAGCGATCGGCAGTTTAAAAGTAGGACAACAAAGGCGGCAAAGAACACTGCCAACCAGTAAGTAAGCTAGACGTGGCACTCTCGTCCGGACCACCCACAAGCGTTCGGGCAGCAGTACTTGCACCTTTTTTCATCCACAATTTCAGCACGCCACCTCCTGCGAGATATAAAGAAAGCATGGATGGTTTGTTTCGCTTTTTGTTTGTGCAATTTTTGTAGCGGTTTGGCTTGCTCCAACTCTTCGGGGTGGTGTGACCGATGCTCTGCGCCTTCTCGTAGTTATTTTTCACAATTTCCATTGTGAGGGGAACGCCGCAACCAACATCACGTTGGTGGCTGCCAGGATGTGCGGTTGGGCGCGTAACCTACAAGTAAATCCATAAAATGTAAAATGCAAATTTATTTATGTGCGTTCGATGCCAAAGCGACAAGAGCATAAACATGAAAACAGAATGAGGCGGAGAAGGGCTGCAGTCTGGCGAATGGGAGCTTCAGCCATCCGTTAGCTGCCAACTCCCAACCTGCCTGCCAACTGCTAACGTATCACCGATTGACCGACCGATCGACCGCCCTCATCAACCTTTTTAACTAACAAACAAAGATGCGCCAGTTATAGAGGCAGGTTGCGGGTACTCTAGGCGGCATTGTCTGTGCTCTGAAGCGCTGTAAATAATGGCCAAGCGCAGTCGTTTTGAAAGCAATGAACAAGGAATCAATGAACGCATAAGTGAACGGTGAGCGTGCGGCCTCCGTACAACGGGCAATGTGAAATACATAAATGGTAAAGGATTTTGATATTGGAATTAATTGGGTGATAATTAGAAAGCATCTTACCAAAGAATTGTACTTTATTGTTGAGTTGTAGTGTGGCGCGTGCGTGTGACGGAGGAATGCACACAAATACTAGGTATTTGACTATCTACATACAAGGGCGAGGTTTGTGGTTGAATCTGTTTTAGGATTCATGAATTTCATGAACCGCTTTTTCTGACAGGAATTCCTTTGCGTAATTTCTCAACCAGAACGTGCTTTGAATTTAAATTATTTTGTTGATAACATATTGTTGTTGTTCTACAAAACTTAAGTGGTTAATTTATTATTATTCGGCTGAAAATTTGCGCTGTTTTTTTTAAAATAATTTTTTGTTTATCGATTTTTTGCCGACGACGAAGAAACAGCCAACAGCGTGGCGAAAACGTAAATGGGGAAGAGACATTTTTGCATTTTCTGCTACTTGTCCTTGCTTAAAAAAATGTTAATTTTTTTTTTATGGAAATATAGCTTACTACCAAAAAAAACATTTAGAACAAAATATCAAACTTTGTAGAACATTTATAAATATTCAATTTTAAACTTTCTGTGACAATTAAATTTAATTATATAAAGTACAAGTTTGAAGTAGCAATTTTTTGTTCGCATTAGGGCTGTGCGATTATTCGATTACTCGAGCAAGCAGATATTCGGTTAGTCAATTACTCGAGTAATCAAGATTTTGATTACTCAAAACGATGATTAACCGAGTTACTTGAAATATGATTACTCAAAAAAATTAATTTTGCTCGTTAAAAGAGTTTGCTTTGGAAAATGCTTATTTTCTTTTTTATATTCTGTATATGAAAAAAATATGTATGTAAGTATGTATTTCATTTTAATTTTTGAAAACAGAAACTTTTTTTCAAAGTATCAAGGAACTTCAACTGCTTTATATGTATGTATGTAAAGAGTACTTTGAAATGTTCATTACTCATTTTATTCATAATGTTGATTAATCATAAAGCAAATTACTCAAATATTTTTGTTTTTGGTTAATCAAAAATCTTGATTACTCGAATAACTGAACTTTTGAGTAATCATAATTTCCAATTAATCGAATAATTGAGTTATTTACTTTATGATTAATTAAAATTTTGAGTAATCAATTAATCGCACAGCCCTAGTTCGCATATTTTTTCCGTACAAAGCATGTTCGAAATTTTTTTTGTATGGATAAAATAAAGAACACCTTCCACAAAAAAAAAAAAATTGCCAAAAATCAACGGAAAGTCCTAGCTACTTAAAATTCACACTGTTTTACTAATAGAATAATTTATATGCAAAGTTTGAAATTTTGACTTAAATGGTTTTTGTTAGATAATGACCACTTCCTAAAAACATAATGAAAAATAAATAATCGAAATGAAAATAGCCAAAGAATGCTAAAATGCCTATTCTCTATTTATTTTTTCGCCACTGTATCTGCGTATTTACATAATTATGTATGAATTCTTGTTACTGTATTCACACATAACTAAGTAAGCAGGTTTATTAGAACACGTTCTGTTAATTAAATGCCACTTAAAAAAAAAAATTAGGTTTTCAGAAATATCAACTGACCATATAAGCCTTTTAATTTACTTATCGTATAATTACTTTTTACTGTTATGCATCGCCTCGCACAGACCACCAAAGTACAGGTTTAAAGAAAAACTACAACAATTTTTACAGCTAACCCCCGGTGTCTGGTCTGTTTAGGTGGTAGCTACTTTCCGATTCGGTGTAGGACACTCACTAAAAATGGGCTCCACTGTATCGCGTTATTCGTTCTGCATAGCTTGCAAATGGTATCATTGGTCGGGGCAAACTTAAAGGCCTGTGAAACAAACAGTGCAGTTAGTAACTTTGCAATGAATTAGAAGTGGACCAAATGAAGGGAATCTTCTGTAGTGTGGCCGAGGCGCACTAATACTAATTCTTTATTTTTTTGTTACTGTTTCTGTGTTTTCTTAATTTTTAGTATTGATGAAAAGAAAATGCAAAATAAAAGTAAAAAAGAAAAAAAAAATCAGTAATTTCAAGGCAGGAGGTTTTTCGGTTGGTAGCTTTTAGCATCATAATTTGCACGACAGTAACCGGCACTCTTTAAATATGAAAAAAGTTTTTAAGTATTTCTACAGAAATTAATTTCTCGTAAAAAATTTTATTCACTTTTAATTATTTTTTACAAACTGCTGTAATTTCGGTTTAGTAGTAACGTCTTTCCATAAAGCTACAACTTTTGTATGTCAATAGTTATGTTACCCACTATTTGTATCAATCACAAAGTGTTTGCTCTCGAAATCAAGTGGTTCCCCCTATAGCGAATGAGAAAATTATTGCAGCTAATTTACCATGGGGCAACGTAAAACCTTAACAAATACGTATTAATCCTTCATAGCAAAAAGTAAATAACTTTCAGTCGATAAGAGAAAACTAATCAGTCCAACGACGCCGAAGCACTTTACTTCATGAGTGCAATTATCTGCAAATACTTTTGTTCATGTACATACATACATACATACTTACATACATACATACTTATGCCATATGTGTTTGTTTGTGTTTCGTTTTCATGCACATTGCAGGTTCAGCTAAACAACTGGAAAATACAGAGCTCTCCAATGGCATTGTCCAAGACGAACCGGAGATAATCGCCCAACAGACCGATAAAGTTGATATACTTCTACATTGTATTAAATCATCAACGCGTGATGCCGCTTGGATTTATGGACAAGTGTTGTGCCAAATTATACGTGATTTAGTGCCACCGAATGAAATATTGACGAAGGTCATAAAAGAGTTTCTAGCCATAAATCAACCGCATTGCGATGTTATTGCAATGATTGTGTATCAGGTAAGTCATATATACATACATACATACATACATACATATGTACATAACATATACTGACGTTAGAATGCTTTTAGAAATAAGAATATATTTCATATGTATGTCTGTATGCCAGCAAGTAATTTACATATAACAAAAGAGCTGCACTGTATCATTGAAATGGTTGCTTTGGTACTGCGGGGTGTTGAATGTTGAATTGTGCGCGCAAATTTCGAGTTCAAAGGAGTCACCTCGGCGCAGCTACATATATGTACATACTCGTATACGCGCAGTGTCATGTGGCATGGAGCTCGCTGCTTCGAATTATACACTGAGTTGCTCTTTCATACATACATACTACGTACGTTAGCAGTAAATGATTTTCAAACAATGGCAGCCGTGTGTAGATCCTGAATTCAACGGTTTCATATGTGTGTTGCATGTAAGCTGTAAATGGTAGAGAGAGTTGGTTATGACTTTGTGTTGCTATTTCTGTTGTCGTGTTGCCGTTGGCGCTCGAACAAACGTATGAGCTTTAGTCACTTTTTAGGGTCGTGTGCTGCTTTATTAGAATTTGAGTTTCGGTTTTACGTTTTTTTTTTTTTGATTTTTTATCTGTGCCACTGATATTCCTTGTGTTCCGTAAGCGTTTGTTTCACATTTGTTTGTGCGTCGGCAAGTGCTTATGGCATTAGTTTGCACTACTTTTATCGCACAACATAATAAAAACTCAGTTTTCGAGGAGAGAAATGGGCAACAGGAATTTGTATAGCAAACTTTTAAATCTTTAGTACGCAGAATGATCTCAAAAAGTTCAAGTTCAAAGGATTTCATTGTAAGCGTAGCCAAGTGGGTTTGTCTGATCTTCAGAGCTATTTATAGGTTAGCGACGAAGCACCATAACCAACAACTCAGTTCACAGGGCTTATATTGATAAACAGAAAATCAGAACGTTTTGGGGTTCCCCACAATATTTTTTACAAGAGACAATCAGTTAGTTGGTTCCGGTTATACGGCAAAGGAAAACCCTTCTGGATACATTACTCGTAAGAGATCTAAGTGGACTTACCTAATGTTTAAGTTTGCAGACTCGACGATCTGATCTGAGATTCTGCAGCCATGCAGGTTTCTCTTCATTAATAATGGTAATTTTTTACTCGATTGCTGTATTCTATTTAATTGTTCGTCTGAATTAATCCGATCCGATCCCACCAAGTACATAACATTACCTTCATAGAAATTAATACTAAATACATACTTTGTTCACCGTTTGTGTAGCCTGATTCTTGAAGCCTGGCCGTGTGTGATGCATTAGATTGTTTTAGTTGCCTGAGTTGCCTTCTTGTCTTTGTAAATCACTACTACTTTTGGTCGAAAATAAAAAAAAAAAACATATTTTCTATGCGTTAATAAAGCAAATTTTAAAGGTCAAGCAAATTACTTTTGCGCTTGAGTTAAATGAACATTTTTTATTGTAGGATGAATTTTAACTGAGTTAGAAATGTTATCCTACCAAAAATTAAGGATTATCGAGATATCTTTCGAATGCTTCCATAGAAGATTTTCATTTTTAGCTCAAATAATTTGGTTATGATGACAGAATAAGATTTTGGAGAAAAATTGGATGGGCGAGAACTTTTGGGTCAAAGCTTATCCAAGCTCACCGTGAAAGGTGTCACACCTTTCAAATGATATATTCTGTTGCGATTTCTATTATCAAAAACATCTACATATATATCGATATGAGCGCATCGAAAACTTAAAAAATAAAAAAAGTTAATTCTTAAATTTCACTTACCTATTAATTTTACGCCAAAGTTGGTAATCGTATTCCCTTCTGCTTGCTTACTTTTCAAGCTTCAAGCCGTTTTAGAAGCCCTCTAAAAAATTTTCCCCAGTAGGATGTTTCAAAATACATAGTAGCTCTACCACATTTTTCTCTTATTGCCAACTTTTTTTTTTACTGATAACTCGTTTCAAATTAAATCGGTAAAATCGAAAAAGCTGGGTCGCAAAGCTTTTAGTATGTCTGCTGCTTTATTTTTTTTTTTTACTCTCCACTCCTGGCGATTACTGGCTGTGAACCGTTTGCATCAATGCCCGTGTAATGCTGATATGGTGTGACCGACATAACCAAGCTAAACTTAGCGGAAATAAATGGCAGTGCGCCACTTGAGTCAAGGAGCGCACCCAGCTATATAGACACACAAATACATTTGAAAACCCTGCAGTAAAAAGCCGAAATCAGCCAACTGGCGAAATCCGAATATTTAAGTAACTGGTTTGGCGTGTCAATAGAGACTCTGCATAGGACCTCCCATCTGCATAAAATTCTATTTAAGAATCATTCAATGGGACCGGACTTGTAAGGAGAAATAACAGAATTTTTACTTAAAAAACTGTAAGGTTCTGAAGTACTGGATTCAAGTGCAGGATCCAGTTTTTGCGATGAAATCCACCTTAATGAGTCATAGAAGATCTGGCTCCTTTTTGACACAGACGAAGTACGTTAGTCATTCGAGTACTTTGAATGATTCAAAGCTGCTTTTGATGTGTTTAGCTTTTCAACACTAAATTTATATTTGGGAAAACTTTTCGGTGTACTTGGTGGAATGTATTAGTCTTCTTTTTTTCATATTGGAATTTTTTAAGGATATTCAAGGATACAATTTTAAAATGACATTTTCCACACCTATGCGTTCTTGCACACCACAAAAGTTAATATTTTCCAATTCTCCCGAGTTTTCTGGTTTCATTTGTTGCCCATATGTTACATACATACATTTCACTGGATTTAGTAATTAGTGATATCCTTGAAATTTCAAAGTCCTTTGAAAAAATTTCTGACGGCAAAGAGAAAGACCTATAACGCAGTACTACTTTATGTGGCCCCTAGTTTCGCGAGCTTATTGATTTTTTTATGTGTAAATTTTACTGTCGCACGGTGGAATAATCGTTATTTTATTGTTCTTTTATTTTTTCGATCACATTATAACCGTTATTTACGGATTTAATATTTTAGATCATATTTAAGAGATTAAAAATTCAGTTTCTTAAAATTAAAAATCGCAAAGTAACAACTAAATTGTACCGAAAAAAATAAATAAAAATTCGATGAGGTCGCAAAGTTCTAAAAATATAAATCTTTATATTTAACGGTTATTTAGGTTCCTGCTCGTAAGCGATGATAGATGATAACAGAATTCATTGCTTTAAGTGGTCATCCATTTTTCTGACTACCCCGACGACTGGCATGGCGTTACTAGTGTTTCTAATGGCTAGAGCTGATGTATAGTATAGGCAGTTCGTACTACAAACCTTGCCATGTTATAAATATTTACCTGTTGCTAATTAAAAAAAAAAATCGATGGAGAACTTGGTAGTTGAGTTTCAAAGCATACTGGTAAATAGTACTCTAGTTCGCAACTAACGGGTGATTTTTTTGAGGTTAGGATTTTCATGCATTAGTATTTGACAGATCACGTGGGATTTCAGACATGGTGTCAAAGAGAAAGATGCTCAGTATGCTTTGANTCGTAAATAAGCAAAATTGCCGCATTTGGAGTGAAGAGCAACCAGAAGCCGTTCAAGAACTGCCCATGCATCCCGAAAAATGCACTGTTTGGTGTGGTTTGTACGCTGGTGGAATCATTGGACCGTATTTTTTCAAAGATGCTGTTGGACGCAACGTTACGGTGAATGGCGATCGCTATCGTTCGATGCTAACAAACTTTTTGTTGCCAAAAATGGAAGAACTGAACTTGGTTGACATGTGGTTTCAACAAGATGGCGCTACATGCCACACAGCTCGCGATTCTATGGCCATTTTGAGGGAAAACTTCGGAGAACAATTCATCTCAAGAAATGGACCGGTAAGTTGGCCACCAAGATCATGCGATTTGACGCCTTTAGACTATTTTTTGTGGGGCTACGTCAAGTCTAAAGTCTACAGAAATAAGCCAGCAACTATTCCAGCTTTGGAAGACAACATTTCCGAAGAAATTCGGGCTATTCCGGCCGAAATGCTCGAAAAAGTTGCCCAAAATTGGACTTTCCGAATGGACCACCTAAGACGCAGCCGCGGTCAACATTTAAATGAAATTATCTTCAAAAAGTAAATGTCATGGACCAATCTAACGTTTCAAATAAAGAACCGATGAGATTTTGCAAATTTTATGCGTTTTTTTTAAAAAAAAAGTTATCAAGCTCTTAAAAAATCACCCGTTAGTACCTTTCACTGCCTGATACTTCGCGTTGGCCATTAGTTCCGGCGCATGTGTATGTGTGTATTTGGCCACATGTAAGTATACTTGCAACATGTCCCTACAAGACATTGCTGAGCACTTTAGGCAAAAACTCTCACACATTTACACTTTTGTTTTTGTAGTACGGCATAAATGAGTAGTTTGACTATTAGTACTGAGGACTTTCTGATGACAACATTGAGGGGAAAGTACTCAAATTTTTCCCATGGCCTGAACGAAAATGAGGACTTTGATAAGCACTTTTGTGATTAGGAGTAATGATAATATGAGTACTCATATGATACTCAGCTGTCTTGTAGGGGTGTAACGTTAGCCGTTATCAATCTCACACACATACATACATATGTTTCATTGTTTGTATTTGTATGCGAGTAAGCGATTTTTTTCGGCAATCACAAAATTAATGACAACCTAAATGTGTAACTACAAGCCACACACATGCCAGTGAACATTAGACACGCACACACACACACACACACACACACACACGGACCTACGCACATGCAAGCACCTAGAGATTTTACTGCATTTGGGTCAGAAGTGTCGGTTCTCTGGCTTGCTGCATCCCTGCTTTCTATGTATATGCATTAGGGTGGTCCAAAATAAGTAAAGTAAGCATTTTTATGCTCTCACCCCCTACAACGGTTCTTTATCGAAAAAAATGTAATCCTTTTATTTTGAAACAAAAAAAATTTAAAAGGTCGCTCAAAGGGCCCAAAGTTTTCCATGTGTTTTATATGGGAAAAAACACAACTTTTGTAGAAATGGTATGGAATTCTTGAAAATCAATATTTTTCGATCGGAAAGCTCTGTTTCTCTTCAGGAGACTTCCAATAAAAATATCTAATTGTGTTTTTTTTTTTAATTTTTTAATACTATTTTTTTATGTATCCCTCCATTGTAACGGGTGATTTTTTAAGAGCTTGATAACTTTTTTTTTAAAAAAAACGCATAAAATTTGCAAAATCTCATCGGTTCTTTATTTGAAACGTTAGATTGGTCCATGACATTTACTTTTTGAAGATAATTTCATTTAAATGTTGACCGCGGCTGCGTCTTAGGTGGTCCATTCGGAANGCATTTTCTGCGGGTTTTGGCGGACGTATAAAATATAGTTACTATGAAAAAATGGCGAAATAAATAATTGCGTATTATTATTGGCAATTTCTTGAAGAGAAACAGAATTCTGTACCATTTCTACAAAAAGTGGGGTAAATTTTTTAATTATTATTATTTTCTTCTTAGAGGGTGAGAGCATAAAAATCCGACCTTCCTTTTCCACATGCATTTTGGGACTACCCTTATGTACATACATATGCCTATATGTTTATGGGGTGTGGAAGGCAATAAAAATCTTCATTAGTCTAATAAACGTGCACGTCGAGGTTCAAGGTTGTAAATCTGAAACGTGAGCGAACTGCTTTATGTTCTTTTTTTGGCTCTTATTTTTGCAGATTTTACTTTTTTGTTTGGTTTTTAAATTTTTCATTCCACTTCTTATAGTTTTATTGTGTGCTTTTAAGCTTCAGCTTTGAGCTTTGCTAAACTTATTTTAAATAGTTTTATTGCATTTTTCATCAATATATGTTCTCCACAAGTACTTTCAATTTCTCGCATTTTATTTTTGCGTGCCGAAGCGAAAGTGTAGCGCCCAAATTTCGCTAAACGCATTTAATTCGCATTTCGTACTTCTCACTTCTGCTTTAAATATTTGCCTTTGAAATTTCTATATTGTTAACCTACTCTCTTTGCACAAGCAATTTCGAAAGATTTTTCTTTTTTCTTTCTAAGCGTATTCGACACACTTTTAGCAGCAGTTGGCTTTAAGTGTTCCAACAGTAGTGGCACTAGTGCCCTGCTCCAACCTCGATTCTTTCATTATTGTTGTTTTTTTTTTTTTGGCGTCGCTTGGTCAGTAGTTGTTGCAGTTGCTTTATTGCTGTGCGTAGAGCTGCAGCTACTTTCGTGCAACACAAAAACCCAATTTTGCCGTCTTCTTGATTTTTCGTAATTTGCCGCCTTAACATTTTCCGGCGTGGCCGTATTTCTTTTACATTGCTACAAACTGTTGGTGCATATTCAACCTTCCACATTCAACATTTAACATTCCGTTCATCCAACATGCAACATTCTTTGCTCGCCCACCCAACCTGCACCAGTATTCAGCATTTAATTTCCTCGACTTTTTCAGTCAGCTTCCTTACTTGCACTACAATTCATTTGATTTACTTGCATATTTTTCTTTTTTTTTGCTCTCATTTTTCACCAAAAATTCACTGCTCACAAAATAATATTTTCCTTACTAATTTTTCTGGTAAATTCATCGTGTTTTTTTTCTCGTCTTTTCTTTCTCAACAGGTTTTCCGTTGCGCCATCGATTCGACGTTCTTGCAAATGTTGCAAGACTGGCTCATATGCTCGTTGCCAACTTTTCTGGCCTTACCTGAACAAAAAGGTGTCTGGTGTCTGAGCGTCATCTTTTTATCCGCTTCCATAAATCTGCATTTGATTAAACTATTTCCGGTGCTGCTAAGCACCGGTGCCGCAGCAGTTGCAGCAGCAGCGGCAGCGGCAGCGGATTCATCAACTGCCACTGGAGGCATCATAGGCGGCTGTGACGTTGGAGATGCTGGCGAAGTTGGTGGTGGTGCGGGTGTCATCGGTGGGGCGTCTCATAAATTGGGTCAACATGAAATTGCATTGTTCGTGACAGCTGCTGTAGATTTTCATGCGAAATTGAGTGCGGAGCAGCGGATGCGTTTCCGTGATGCCTTTGAGAAATTCCACAAGCAACCGGTTTATGCCAAGCTGTTACAGAGTATCTGATTTAGCAACGCGCAGTGTTAGTAGCAAAATGAGTGGTTTTCGTTGTTGTAGCAGTAATATACGTTTTAGGCGCTCGTAGTGTGGGTGTACTGGGGTGATTTACTTAGCCGGTGGGGCGGATAGGTGTGCTCTTGCTGCTGGGCTGTTGGCAGCGTAGATGGCATCACTTATTGGTCGATATACATAGAACACACACTTATACATAAGCAAGCGGTAGCATAGTTAAAGGATGCTAAGCCAAAGGTGTGCAAACGGGGTAATTTGCTGTTGGTTATGTTTTTATTTATGTTCGGTTGATGAGCTCCACCGTTGATTTATGAGGTCACTGCTAAGTGACTAAATTCTGCAGTTGTTGCGGGCCGTGCGGGAGCTGAGGCGGGTTGCAGAGTGGTCACAAAATGGTACAGTTTAAAATTGAATTGAGTTAATGCGATTGCCAAATAGTTTTGAGATTGCATTTTAAGGATTTATCTTTTGCCAAAGTAATTCTTGGTTTTTCGATCCTTTTTTTGTTGGCTAAGAATCATTCAAGTTTAGCCTGATCTTAGGTTAATATAGTATATGTACATTAGATTGGGTAAATTTTGATTTTAATAAATCGCATGGTATTTCTTGATTCTGCTGACAATTCTAAGAGAAAGTTTAGAAGAAACCATGGTTCGGAAATAAGTTGCGAGCCAGCGCATTTTCTAAATGAAGAATTTACCTTTGCACGATTTTAGTTTTTTCACCTTTTCTCAAAACTTTTGCATAGTAAATGTTTGTATTTAAGTTTAAAACATTTGCTTTATTTGTTTAAACCATTTTTAAAAAGTAAATACATACATGTGTTTTTTGAATTTTAAACTTAAAAGTTAAACAAACAGTAAAAAGTAACGGTTTTTGCATTTTAACAACAAAAACTGGATATGAAGACGTCTAGGACTTACCCGTTGATTTTTGTTTTTTTTTTCTATACAGAACTTTTTTTTTTTATTTATTTTTCAATAAAAAATGCCAAAAATCGACGGTAAGTCTTGGTTACTTGCACTTTATTTTAATCAAATTTAATGGACCACGAAACTATATACTCAAAATCTTTCTAAGAAATCCATGTAAAAAGCTTTTAATCTTTACGAAAGTTTGCTATTTTTTTTTAAATATTGCGCAATGTTTTAAACTTGGATTTATACGATTTTTGTTAAAAAGTAAAATATATATTTACAAAAAAGTAACTAAAATTTAATGACAAAATAATAATAATTTTGGCACAGATTTTGAGCGGTATTAGTTTTAGCAAAAGGTGAACACTTTGTAAAACCGGCATATAACGAAGAAATAAAATTTGAGAAAAAGTAAATTTTTATTTTAAAAATTCGCAGGCTAGAAACTCTTCCGATTTTTCACTTTCCTTCTACGTTTTCTTTTAGAATTCATGGAGGATCATTACTATACCAAATGCTAATATTAACATTATAATTTATAATTTATAATTTTAATTAATTCGATGGTACGCGAATATCAAGCAATACGGTATTTCTGCAAATTTTCGCTTGGTATGCTATTACTTCGAAGTTTCGAAGGTTTATTTTCCATTTTGTAATAAATTTTTTCGAATACCTAAAATTTCACTCTTAATTGTTGCAAAGGTATGAAATGAAATTCATCGTAAGCAACCCTCATGTCTGTCTTAAATTTAGTTTTCCGAGCAAAGTAAACTGACGATACCTACTTCATTACAGATTCAATTTCAAGCTGTTCTAAAATATTTAGATTATAATTAAAAGACGAACAGAAACCTTCCTACAAAATTTAATTGGAACGCGTCACTAGTTTGGTAATAGTTTTCTACCACATTGCTGCTGACTGCAATAATAACTATAACAACCTACTGTATATATGTATGTATATGCACATGTACATCCATTTACATATATTTCTCAAACTGACTACCATTCCTACTTTTAATTTCTGTTCTACGTACTTCTAAATGTTATTTAACTTTCGTTTAAATGCGAACGATGTCATTTGCCGCGGCAAACTGCCAAAAAAAAATAGCAGCAAAGCACAAGCCCCACAAGCCCCACAAGCCCCAAATTGACAGCTCCGACAACAGAGCCTCACTCCCTTCCACCATCAGCAGCTAGTGTGGGCCGCTAGTGTAGCAGCTTTTCCTACGCGATGCACTCAAATACATACATTTAAAATATTTTCCTCAATTCCAACTTACTTTTAACACCACTACACTTATTTTTGCCACGGTAAGAGCTAGCTAGCAGCAGTCAGCGGCAGTGGGGAGTGAAAAGCAAAAGTTGCAGAATTCATTTTGTCGTTCGCTCATCGCTCGTCCGCCGCTGGTTGAAAATTGTCTAAAAGAAAGACAAGCGTGAATAACTAATTGCCAAGATTGGCAACAGCAGTGACATCAACAGCGACCATATCTAAGCTTAGATCAGTGAGTGAGTGAGTGTAGGCTGTGGGTTGAGCTTTCACTTCCCTGCTTACTTACATAAGTACATATAGAAGCCAGTCGAGATTTCTTACTCGCCTTGGGACAGCTTGCCGCATCGAAAAATCCCCTCAACAGCTACATAAGTCAATCCGCACATACACAAGCGAACATACACACACACACACACCCCAGTGCTACCATCATCAGCAACAACAGCCAGCAGCAGAAGTCAGCAAACTCGTCAAACTCATTCAGGAGTTTAGCAGTCGTCAACGTCGTCATCGTCAAATGTCGCCAAGTCGAGACAACTATTTGTAGTTGACTAAATGAATAAATGAATGAATGAATAGTTGGTTGAATCAGCACAGACTAGCTCGGCGCTGACGGGCTGACAGGCCGACTGACTGACTTACTGACGACCGGCTAGCTAGCTAGCTATGCAGCAGTTTTCTTAGCCGGTTTGCTCGCTGCCAATTGGGAGCTGCACTGGCCCTGACTGAGGCGTAGCTTCGTTAATGCCGCTTCACACCGCCAAACATCCGTCTTGAGCTGCACGCAACGCCGGCCAATTTGAATGATAAAAGTTTTTAATATGTCCCCTTTTTTAGTTAAGAATTAAAATTAATTTATGTTATATGTTGTATTTATATTTGTACGTACTTAGGTATGTATGTCAATGCACTGTGTAACCAATATTAAAATTGTGAATTGTAAAGAAAGTGCAAAGCGGAATGGAAGTGAAGAGCAATGAAATGATTAGTGACTCTGTGTAGAATCAAGCTGAGGATGAAGGCGAGGTAAGGAGGTGGCGTGGTGAAAAAGCGCCAGTGGCAGCGCTTGAGTGAAATCAAAAAACTTTTGCAAAATTGTTGTTTGCCTAATAAGAAAGATCGCCGAGTGCTGTGTGACCTCAGTTGCGGTGGAAGTTGATTTACTTTTGTGGTGCCTCAAAGTAGTTAGTGTGAATGGGTTTTTGTTTTTGTTTAAAGATAACAAATTGAAATTGAATGGGCTTAAGGAAATTTTTGAAAAGGATTGTAGAGCATAAATAAAGCAAGGAGGCGGTGAAAAGCTAAAGCGCATATACATTCATAATGAGGAAATAACTAATTTGTTAAAACGTGATAAAAAGCGCCTGAAATTAATTAAAATATGGACACTAAAATGAATGTAGAAACTTTTCTGCTTAATGAATTTGTTTTACAAAAAAAAAAAAATGTTTCCTATAACTGCTAAAACTTTATGTAAAGACATAGCTAATTATATTTGTAACTATTGTAACCAAAGTTTCGAAAATATACATATGTACATACATAAATGTGTACATATGTACATGTAGTAATGAAATACTTCCGTTTGTCAAGATAACACAGGTTTACAAAAACAAGAAGCTTATGCATATTAAACCAAACCTATATATCCCTATGTTATTCGACACGCTGAATGCGAATCCGAAGTCCGTTAGTCTCCACCACGTCATGTTCGTGGTCAGTTGAAGGTCAAGTAGGGAAGTGACAGACACTTTTCATTGAAAAAGTTCCGTTAGGTTCGCAAATAGTGACAAAACAACAATCGTTTCTCACATGACTCTCACCCCAAGTTATACAATACACTTCTCATATTAACCTATTATACAAGAAACATACTTACCTATATATTTTTTTATTTTACTCCGACTCTTTACAAGCTTATAACTTTTAATTAACTTAAATCTATAATAAATATGGTATTCAATTTAACCTTTAGCTATAAGTTTTTGCATCACTTTCATAAGTAATTATACATACATTATTGTTTGTTCAATCAAAGGCTTCCTTAATTCCAGAATAATAAAGTTTACTTAATATGCGAATGTTTGTAGACAAAACTTTATTAACAGATAAATATTACAACTGTTTAGTAATGATTAAAAAAAAAATCTGTGCATAAGTTTAAAAATCTGTAGTTATTAAATATATTATGCAAATTCAATATATGCCAAACATTATGTATCTCAATACGTGATTAGCGTTTTATTTAAAAAGTAAAGAGTGATCGATTTAGGCCCGATTTCTCGAGAAGACAGCTTTTTAAATTCATCTGCCCTTTAAAAACAAAATTTGTGTTTAAATTTTAAAAGCTACGAACATGGGAGAACAAGATACATAAACTGCGGTCTCATACATTTGCCTTTTTTGAAAGTTCCATTTAAGATTTATCTAAAAGCATCGATGTAAGAATTGTGTTACGTATTACTGCATATCGTCACCCCTATGTCAGAAGCATGAATGTGCAAATTTATCAGTTTTGAGTCATTGTGTTGACTTGATTAACCCTTGGATGTTCTATGTTATACCTAAACCCAGAATACCATGCGTACACGGAAACCACTTATTTTACAATTTCAATTGCATAAATGTATAGTTAAGTCTCGTAAAAAATAAAAATTTAAATTTGATTTCTCAAAAATTTCAATTCTACATATTCATGTTTCTGGCATACGGGCGACGATATGGATTGTATGTAGTTTATATGACTAACACAGTCCGAGAAAACTCAAAAAATTGTTCGGCATTAGCGTCAATGACTTGCGGTCAAAAGTATCGGTACATGGCGTATCACCTACCGGTGATAAATAGAAATTTACGAGCTCCCGGTTCTTATGTATGAAAATGACCGGCAACTTTAACATATCATTGTAATTGTAGGTTGTCCACCCATGAGTGCGGAGTCGAAGGATCTTTTTACTCTGGACAGATTGGTTGACAACGAAGGCAAGGCTTCCATGTATGCTGTGGGAGGACTAAGTATGACCCACCAGCAGTGAGTGGGAAGAAATGGTGGAACTTCGCAAAGGAAAAAGAAATTGGGGAAAGGTTTTTTTGGTCCCGGTCTAAATCGGCAAACGGTGTTAGTGGCCAAGTATACATTCAACAGCTTGACATAGAAATACTGCGAGCTAATCTTTATCTTAAGACTTTTTAATGGAAAAATAAGCACGATTCACTACGATATTCAGTTCACGTACATATTTACACTTGTGGTCAGCTGATTAATTCATGTGGCATTTGGACTACCGTCAACCAAAAAAAAAAAAAAAATAAATATTAAAAATCAATGCGATTGTCT